GGTAGCTGCTGCTGCTGCTGTTGCTTGGTAGCTGTTGCTGCTGCTGCCTGGTAGCTGCTGCTGCTGCTGCTGCTGCTTGGTAGCTGCTGCTGCTGCTGCTGCTTGGTAGCTGCTCCTGCTGCTGCTTCTGCTTGGTAGCTGGTGCTGCTGCTTGCTAGCTACTCCTGCTGCTGCTTCTGCTGCTGCTTGGTAGCTTCAGCTTGCTGCCGCTGCCGCTGCTGGTTACAGTTATTGTTGTTGTGGCTGTTGCTGCTGCTGCGGCGGTTGCTGGGGTGGTTGTGTGGCTGTGTTGGGGTCGTATTGGGGGGGGCGCTGTTGGCACTCTCCTTTTCCCTTGGCCATGGCATGTTGAGATTCACGGCCTGGCTTTTGCTGCCTAAAGAGCCCCAGCGTTGTTTATTTGCCTAGCTTTCGCCACCCCCCTCTGGGCCACAAGTATCTAGGGGCACCGGCCCTTTTTCAAATCCTGGCTTCCGACATTTCATCAACACACAGAAGCATACTATTGTTCTTGCGTTGCTTTAACACCTCTTCGACAACATGACAGAAGGTACTTTGCCTAGCACTCGCTAGGGAGGTTCCTCTCTTTTTCTGTAAAAGAAGTTGTAGTAATCAGCAGAGTGGACACGTCAAGTTAAGTTTCCTAGCGTGAGCGTGAGCTATCCTGCGTCCCAACTAGGAGCGAACAAATTCCTAGTAGCGAACTAGTCGACCTTACATAATTTTGTAGGGGCGCCTACTTAATTATATAAGTAGGAGCGGGCCAAATAGGAGAAGCAATAAGAGAAAAAGACGCTTATGGCCTCTGCATTTGTCGGTCTCTAGCCTCGGGCCTGCAACGTTGCTTGTCAGGTGCCTCCCTGCTTGAAAGACAACGGTCAAGAAGACAGGCCAGACAAAGCGCCATCCCAAAGCACTTCCCGTTTCATTCTTTGGCCATAATATTGTTTCACAAACTGGAGTGTGACACCGAATATATAAGTATTGCTTTCTCAGCATACCTTTTGTTCAACGTTTCAGCAACTGATATTGATCTGTGAATCTACACCAGGTCGAGTGTTGCAAAGTCCAGGACCATATAGTCACACTAGTGCTTCGGAGTGGGTTGATTGTGGGAAGGAGGAGAGCCGTGTGATGTAAGCATTGCGTAAGCTTGCTGCTGTATGGATCCCGATGCTAATATGCTATGTACTTTTCTGCTGAAGCCATGCTGCTAGTTGGCGTCCCAGGTGAATAGCTCTCAAGTACAGGACCGCCTTCGCCGCGAGGCCAGGCGGCCAGGATACAAGTGGCATGTCAAAGGCAACAGTTTAAATAACAACTATTTGAAAATAGCAGCTACTAGGAACAAGTGCATCGCTTCTAGTAACAAGTGCCTTACTAGTAGTAACAAGAAGCTAGTAATTAGAATTGCTGTTCGCTAAATGTTCGCACCTTTTCTCATCGCCAAATTCCACTTGTTTGTGCAGCCTTCGACCCTTGGAGCGATGTCGCCGCTTGAGGCGATTCAAAACATTATGAACAGCCCAGCAGCAACTTGGCTTAAATGCGGCAAGAGTGCCGTGGCTCCTGAAGATAGTTCCAGAAGTAAGTTCAACTGCATGTTCTGCATGGTGGTCTAGTGGAATGATGCGTTTGATTTCAAGATCTTGAAGTAGAGTTTTTGTTGGCATCACCAGGCTACCGCTGCATGAGTGAACGCCGCGATGTCTCAGGTGATCCTATTTACACTGGCCTCTTTGGCTATTTGTGTGGCTTGGTGCATTGGGTGCGGATGGTGAGTTTGGCTCTGTGCAACAGTTGATTCACAATGTTCATGATTTAATTAGCCAGTTGAATTGCCCCCTTCCTCCAGGACACGTCCCAAATGTTGGGTGTAGTCTACCAGGAGACATGTAGGGGCAAAATTTCAAGCCGGGAATTCCAGAGACAAGTGCGTACAAAACATGAAGTTTGACTTCCACTGTATAGAGCTTTTCTTTGCTGCTTTCACTGCCTGGTAAGATTGAGCAGACCAAGGCGGGCTCCGTCGCCATGTTCTTTTTCTTTGTCCGAGCTGTGTACGCCACGCTTTTTTACCACAATGAGCCGTGTGATCAGCCATTGCTGAGCCGACCTCAGTGTTTAGAGAGAGGTGGTGCCGCGATTCCTTTTTTGAGTTTGCGCCACATTCCAAAAGGACGTCTTGACTGAATGAGTGTGCTACGGCGTAGACATACTTTTTCAATGTGCTCCAAGTACATCCAAGTGCTATCTTTGCTGGACAGAGTACTCAGAGTACCTAATACGAATTGCCGAGTCTGAAGTTTCCATGAGAGCTGGCAAGGGACACTATAATCACTGTAAACTCACTGTAAACTGTAGGCTGTTACTTACTTAATGTTAATATGCAAATTTACTTTAAACTTTAAACATGAATCAAATATTGAAAGCATTTTTGCATTTAGCCTGTGGGAAGGCTCAGGCTGAAAGTAGTACGGGCTGTTGTAGGTTTGCACTGCAAACCGAGAGGAATTACCTGGCATCCCAAGTTTAAGCGAATTCCCTGAATCGCGGGGACACAGCAGAGGGAAACACAGCAGGAAGGGCTTCCTCCCTTCCTTACCATCATTTTTCTTCCTTCGCTTTCGGACTCTTGTGGACTTGTTTCCCAGAAGAGCGCCTTCCCAATCTTCTTCAGGAAGATGTATGTCATTTGCTCTTTGGCCATGGGAACATTCACTTCCAGACTATCACAGTGGGTAGTTCGTGACTTGGAAAGATCTTGGCAGAACTTTTTCAATCATTTTCACAGTCTGAAGTGCCTTACCGCAACAACGTTCACCATTGGCTGTTATGGCTGCCCAGGAAACCTTCAGTCTCAGCAGAGATCCACACGCACTGTGGCTCCTCAGGAATTTCGTAGCATTGTCACATTGAGTTTGTTGGTATTCTGTGTTTACTTTGAGATCGCCAGAAAGAGATACTTGCCAAGGTGTGGCTTTGCTCGACATTAGTGGCCATGGTGCCTGGCTGGATCGTCCTGTATTGGGGATACTCTTTGATCCAGGCGTCAGATTTGTTTTTATTCATGACCGGAGATGTTGCGATTGAAATAGAAGCCCCTCTCATGGATTGTTGATCATTTTGATTCCTGAGTGTACCATCTCTTGGATTTCACCAATTTACTTCAGCGGGCTTGGAGTATTCTCCGGTTGCAGCCCGTGCTTTGCGCCAGAAGTGCCATACCTGCCAAACCACCAATCCGATCCTCTTTTCCCACCTGAAATCCTACATCTACTTTCAGCAACCTGGCTTTGAAGTCTTGACTCGGCGTCATTGGACATGCACAGACTACTACTCTCAGTATCAAAGCAAAACAAGCCTTTTTGTAAACGACTGAATTTGTTTGCTGGCATTCTGTCCTGATATAGTCTCAGGCAGCATGTTGAATTAACTACTATCCTATCCCCGTCTCTCTCTCTCTCTCTCGCATTGAATCTTTAGGAGCGCAGCTCAGTCTTTGAAGATTTTCGAGGCATAACACAGTTGTCTCCTGCTTTACCGTAGTAAAGCCTGTACCTGCCCGAGTACTGTAGCTCATTGCCTCCACCTCCATCCTTCCTCATGCTCTCGGCAAAAAGGACCCTTGACTACCTAATTTTTTCTACTGTTAAAACATACATATCTCTCATTTATATTTGTATTGATATTGACATATGTATACCCTGCCCGCCACATGGATGCTTCGCGTCAGCAAAGTGCGCACTGCCTGGCCGTGGTGCTACCCGCCACCCTGCACACAAATCAATGTATATACATTTGTGTCCCGGATTTTCTTTCCTCATTCATTTCAGAATGCTATTAGTGACCTCTTGCCGAGCCTTGCTTCTGAAGTTTGTTGCAAACTCAGGATTGTAGCTGCAATGACGTATCTAGTGGCCTGGAGCTTGGAAGCACCTTGAGATGATGCCATACTGACATATTGTTGATGACGCATGGTGTCATGCAGTTCTCACGTCCTCCGGAAGTATTTGACCTCATTCCAGGAGTGGCTTTCAAGCACACAGTTCATCCTTTGCTTTTCAAGAGTGCAATTGGCTTCCTTATGGGATTCTTTCCTCCTCTTTTACAGCACCTGCAAGCAACACCTACTGCTGTCAATTCTGAGATTTTCCAGTGTATAGTTTGCCGTGAACTCTTTGATCCGAAACTTGCTGAAGCCGTGTTAACGCCAACTTAGATCCTTGATGGCCCAACGATTTGAGTCATTCTATTTCAACCCTTTTGGAGTGCGAAAGATGACATAATAAATTCCTTTCCAATCGTTGGTGCTAAGTGCACAAGTGAATAACCTGTTAATTCATTTTGTTCTGCTCTACTTCTGGATAGAGTCTAGAGGCTTTGAGAGCACATGACCAGCCGACCACAGGTTTGTGTCCCAGCGCTGTCGTTTGCTCATCGATTTTTGCTGCTGATGCAGCAGATCAACATGGGCGAAGGGATGAAGGGCTGAGCTTTGGCGGCACATATCCCTGAGGGCAGTTGGCCCATATCCCTGGGTGGCAATTTTGGATAATTTGTGCTTGTTTAGTCGACCTTGGCCATTTAAGCAAAGGGAGTAAATGTGACGCCTCAAATGCTTCAGTTGACCTCGGTCTTCATATCCTGCCAGAGTCCTGCAGGTGCTGACAAGATCAAAGATCTTCCGCATCTTGGTCTTTGAATCGACGTGTCGAAGAATGTTCGACTTGAATGGATTTGTGTCCAATTCAGCATCTCTCTTGTTTTATGTATAGTGGAGCGGCTAGAACCATCCTAGAGAAAGTACCGTTTGCACACATGTCTTCACACTTGAAGCCTTGGTTGACACTACTGCCCTCTTCTTTCTTGGCGAAGACTGAAGTATAACTAAAGCTACTTGTATAAGACTTACTAGCTAGCCCCAGAAAGTACATCTTGACATTTTTACCTGTTTGTGTTTGTTAAGACGTGCTATTGTTTGCCGATTTTTAGTCCGGACTTTAGAGACATTCTCAACCATTTATCTGCAGACCGTGCTTAAGACTCAAGATAAATTCCAGTCCAAGCGCTTGCAAACGTTTGCACAGGATAGGATTCAAGATTTGAAGATTTCAAGATTCAAGATCTAAAAGAACTCTTTTGAATCCAGGGGCTTAGATTTAGGACAGGTTCTGGATTGAAGTACCGTGTTTTGATCTTGAGTCTTGAACTTCTGGAAACAAAGCCTGCAATCGAAAGTTGTTTTCTTTCTCCGCGTCTGGTGGCACCTTGTCCTCCATTAATGGGGCTGCTTACTTGCACCTGACTCCCGCAGCCTGGCTCCCTGTCATCCATCCATCCATCCATCCATCCATCCATCCATCCCACGGCAAAATGGCAGTTTTTTGTCGGTGCGCTTGGTCAAACAAGCTGTATACCTAGGAGCTGTCATTAACTACATTGAACACAGAGATGCCACTGTTCTTGCCAGAGTCAAAAGTAGCCTGAATGCGTTTCATCGACTTCGAAAGTGGCTGCGAGGGTCCAGATGTTGTGCACTTCATGAAACAAATATAAACAAATCATTGTGGCAATCATGTATGGACTTCCTGACATACAAGTAGGAGTTACTCACAAAGGATGTCACAAAGTCCTGTCCCTGATCACCACAATGCTTCGACAAATATAGGTACCATCCATATCACACGGGCCGTAGCCATCAAGATTTTTTTCGCCATCACGGCCTGCCAACGGCCATGACCATTGTTTTGACCCGCCTGGAAGCTCGCCAACATCGACTACTTTGACAGTGCTTTTGGAGGCGTATCCCCCAAACATGCATGCATGCATTTAATGCTGTAACATGTATGTGTTTTTTAAGTTCAATATGTTGTTCAATCACCTTCTGACAGTGCATTTGAAGGCTCATCCCAAAGCATACAGTTTAATTTTACACTGTAAAATGCACGTTTTTGGGAAAATCACACCTCCCAAGAAAACGCATGTTTTTTGCACGTGATTTTTCGCGCCCTCGGGTCTGGGGTCCTAGGTCTTAGAATCTAGTGTAGGAGCGTTGGGGGGTCGCTTGCACCGCGGAATTTGATCGCTTGTGCACCGCAGTATCCCCCATATCAGGTGCAGCGATCCAATTTCGTTGCCCGCAAGCGATTCGGGAGTAGTCTTGGGCAGATGGAGTGCACAAGCGATTTCCATTAGCCCCCACCAAACCCGCCCACCCCCCCACCTCCATGGCAATCTTCAGATCACAGACAGCTGCGGGTGGGCTAATGTCCACCTAGGATTTATAAATATCCCCTGAATAAAGCTAAACAAATCCCAGAACAGATTAATAAATTCCACCCAAATAAAGCTAAATGTTTTCACCCCTGATCCTGGTGAGGATTCCTGCTGGCTGATCCTGGTGAGGATTCCTGCTGAATCAATGGGTCCTCAATGGATTCCTTTCTTCTATTCCTTTCCTTTATAGATTCTTATACTAAATGAAAAATCTCTACCAATACTAAACATATGAAAACAGTCTTTAAGTCTATTTGAGGTCTTTCAGGGGGGGGGGGGGCCCTACCGATAAAAGTCTCGGTTGCGCACAGATCTCAGCTGTGACTTTGTAGCCATCCACAAATCATTTCATTAGCCCCCCCCCCCCCCCCCCCCCCCCCCCCCGCCACGTGCGCGCCAAAGAGATGTATGGAGGAGATCCGTTGTGCGCAAGTGATCATGGCTGTGGACTCTGACCTCTGGTGCCTGATTCATTTTGGCAACCCTCACAGCAGCTTAGAGCCGTGTGGTGCGCAAGTGATCCAAATTCGTGGTGCGTAAGGGATCCCCCGCCCGTCCAGGAGTGGTGGCTGGCGCCTGGCGTGAGTTCTTGGTTTTGGTCAGGCTATGGTACCTGTTAGGTAGGTAGTGGTGTTTTTTGGCAAAGCCAAACGTGTCTTTGTTCGGTGTCTATTTTTTTCGGCAAGCCCAACGTGCTTGTTCACAGTCCTGTACTTGCTTCGCGCTTGTTGTATCCTCTGTCAGCGCGTCGTCCTCCATAGGGTTGCCAGCATTTGCTTGCTCCTTGTCCACGAAGCTCGCATGCAGTATCAAATTTTTCATCTCTGGAATGCTCTTCCATCCCCACAGTGCATCTGAATACACATGTTTAGAATGTCTACTTGCTTTACAAGCAGTTCCCGGGCAAGCCGGCGGCCGAAGTTTCCTATAAAAAGAATTTGACCTATAGGAGTGTCCCTTCGCGCATGCCCTGCGGACCCCCTCTTTTTCCGGCCCGCAACGATGGCATCATGCAAGCAGCCCACAACAGCGTACTCGCTCTGGTACTGTGCATGCAGTGGCACTGCCACGAATTCCCCTCGCTTCTTCCTTTGCTGTTCATGTCCAAGAGCGCAGCCGATGCGTCGCCGACTCACCACATCCTTTTTTCCACACAGTGCAAAGAGTCCTGCGCGGTAGCAGCTGTTTATGCGGTCATAGGAGCATTTCCCGGCTGTCTGCGCGGTCCACAGCGACGCACGCAGACCGACGCCTCTCGGCAAGACCAAGGAACGGTTCACCCAGCACCTCCGGCAGGGGCTGGACGAGGTGGAACAACTCTGCCAGCAATCCAAACCACCCCTGGCTGCAGTACACCTATCGTCACAGCAACGGCGTATGCAACCGACCACCGCGTGCAGTTTTGGAAACCCTGATCCAGGTCCCAATCAAGTCGCAAGCCTCCTGGTTTCGCAACGAGATCATCCCTGTAACTGGAAGACATGATCCCACCAGACATGAAAGTGCCATTTACATCGCGGGAACGATCCTGAAACTGCATAACACAATGAAATTCCAGCGACGGCGCATCCACCAGCAACACTTGCAGCCACATTTACAGTGCGGAAACCATCCAGGAGTTGCGCAACGCAGTGGACTTCCATCAACAGCACGCGCGCAAGAGACAGGTGAAAACTCTAGTTACAATGGAGGGACGATTCGAACATGATCCGAGCATGATCCGAGCATGACGCGAGGACGTTGCGCAACCGTCGTTCCGCAGAGCTTGACTTGCCAGGTTCGGAGCCACCCTTTGTATTGAACAACGCAGCATTTCGTGCATCCGCTATCTCTCGAAAATACATTTTGCACGAGACTTCCTTCCAAAGTGCATGTTGAACACCTGCAAAACGAAGCCATTCCGCGAGACTCCTTCCAAAATACATGTTGAAGAGCTGACTGGAACTAGAGCTAACTAGACTAGAGCTGTTGAAAAACGCATTTTGTACGAGACTTCCTTCCAAAATGCGTGTTGAAGAGTGGAGCTAAAGCTAACTAGAGCGAGATCCACCTGGACCTAAAGCGAACCAGAGCTAGAGCCAACTGGAGTTAGAGCTAACTAAAGCTAGAGCTGAGCTAAAGGTAGTAGTAGTAGTAGTAGTAGTAGCAGTATGATGTAGTATGTAGGTATGTAGGTACGTAGGTATGTAGGTATGTAGGTATGTAGTATGTAGTATTAGTAGTAGTAGTAGTGGTAGTAGTAGTAGTAGTGGTAGTAGTAGGAGTAGGAGTAGGAGTAGTAGTAGTAGCAGTAGTAGTAGTGGTGGTAGTAGTAGTAGTAGCTTCTGAAAGTCCGTAACACGGAAGTTTTTGCACCCTAAACTTCCTTTGATAATCATAGAATGATCGGGCGCAAATCAAAGACTAACAGCAACCTATGGTTCCTTGAAAGGCAATGCGGCTTCAATACCGAATAAACATAGGTTGTAACTACAGATAAAACATCATTATAAACAACACCTGGAAGTTATCGCGCGTATCCTTTTGTCACTGCTTTGCGATCACTTGGTCTTGTAACACTGTGCTCAAAAAATAATATATATATATATAAACTTGCCAATGAGGAAGGTTGCCAATAATGCCCCGGAACTCCGTGATCCTGACGATGGCAGCTTCTTGGCGCCAAGAGGTTGTTGGGCATCCTATCGTTCCACCTCGCGGCATCCGATGCTTCAGAATGCACCTTTAGACCAGATTGCAATGGAAGTGGATCGTAAGTAAGTTGGCGGAGGCACGGATGACAATTTGTGTTGTTTTCTTGCGCCGATGTTGGAAGACATTTGAGGGTTTGGCCCCGTGAGGGTGTCTCAAATTTCTATATAAATCTTGTGTTAGTGATAATTAATTCCTTTCCGTATTTTTGTAGTGTTATGGTACACGGCTTGGGGTGCCCAAGCGCATCCAACTTTGCGGGTAGAGCACACTGAAATTTGGGGTCGCGCGCCCACACTCTTCAATGACAAGTCCCTTGCATGTTCCACTCACGCCCTGTTGAGGGTTCAATTGCTTTTGTTTCTTGGAACCCTGTACGTGCGCATCCTTGAATTACAAAGAGACTGGCGACAGCAACATGCGAGCGTGACTGATGCAACCAACAGGTTGCCCTGGACTACTTTGGGGCCGTTTTGAACTCAAAGGGCCACCAATGAAACAACCTATTGCGGTCTGCGCTTGACATTCCCACTTGCCTTGCAAAGGATGGGGAAGACCACTTTCTTTGATCTTGGTTCATCCAGATCCTGCAGACTGCCTGAGGTTTGATGGAGTGTTGCATTTGCCTCACCTCCTTTGCTTCTCAAAAGGTGGCAACATGGCTGATTTAGAGAGCCAAAACCAGTTTCGAAACATTCAAATCTGAGGGCACTACTATCAAAGATACCTTCACCCAAACTCCGGTATTCTACAATTATTTGTGCACCAACTGCAAAATTCTTTTGCACAGTTGAAAACAACCACAAATCTCTTCTTTGTAAGAGATCCAAGATGCATTTTGACTCGAAGGGAACGTCATTTTGCAACCGTTTTCCATTCCGTTCCTCACAGGTCACGCTCACATAGTGGTGTCAGCACACTAACTAACCAGGTACGCACACCGTGTGGCCACTACTTCCATGAGCATTGTGTCTTGGCTGCTGCGGAGTGATCCATGTCTTCATGGGTGTTTGGCATTTCTGAAGCTTGTGCCGACTTGATTCCAGGATTGGAAGTCTCTAGGAACAAACATATTGTAAGGTATCACAACCAATCGCATTTGAAGAAAGGGTATATTTTTCTGTGGGTATGATAAGGTATGATAAGATCATCCTAGTCTGATGTTATTTAAGCAGATCCCGTCGATGCGACATCATTGGTTGTGTTTTGTGGCAGATACTATTTTGTGTGACGGACCGCAGTTGACAGGTTATAAGCAGGCCAAGACAAGCACAAACGGACAAGCGTAGTGCATCCTTTCGTACAAGGTTTGAGTCACTGGTGTCAAGCCCACGTGAGCTGCCCTTTGTGCAAAAGCTTGGTGGCCGATCCAGAAAATCCAGGTGGGATCAAGACGGTAAGACATTGCTGTAGGTTGTTGTCACAAGCGCGTTCGAATGCGGTTTCAGAGAGTGCATGATCCTTCTGGTACGTCCAAGTGGAAGTCATGGCCCTGAATGTCAAAGCTTTGCTGCTCAGGTGAAATGAGCGCGACAAACAGCAGTAGCAGCTAGCAGGATAAAGTCGACAGAAGGCCCCGCCCTGAGTCCTGACAGTGTGAAGCACACTATGCTCAAAGTTACCACACGGCTTCGGTGTGATTCCATGCCACGGCATGCTTGCTTTCGCTTGATGCATTTACTTTACTTGATTGAGTTTGAACATTGTAGGCCCATGTTTGGAGAAACAACAGCCCCGTGTGTGGAGAGTGCCCGTGCTGGGGTTAATGACTGTCAATCATGCACATGGCAGACGTTGTCCGGACTCCTCACTACTTTGCAGCCCAGTCCAAGAATCAATGAGCCCCTGCATCAAGAGTGCAACTTCACCAGACTGGACATAGACCCCACCCGGTCCCCGTCGAGCATGAGGTTTTCGAAGCTGGCCTGGCACAGAGGCGACAGCCGGAAAGACCCCCGCAAAAAGAGCAATGATTATGACTAATTAGGGTGTCTGTGCAAGCTTTACTATCTTAGTCATTCTTAATCTATCTTAACTTTTTCTAACGGGTTTGAACACTCATCGACAAGTGACGGCATTGGAACTAGTTTCAGGAACTTTTACAGTGTACTTCAAGGTGGAAAGACCTTGCTGTCACATCCTGCAGGCTTTTGGATTGGAGGGTTTGTCAGTTCGACACGTGCCACAATGTCTGAAAACGAGCAACATGAGCATTGCATTCTTTTGGGAGTGGTGATCCGGGGATCAGATCCCCCAGAATTGTTCGAAAAAGCAATACTGGAATTTGCAACTGTCAGTGTCAGATGTGGCCAGCAGCAAGGAACACAATTCCGTCAAGGTCAAGGTCAATTCCGTCAAATACTCAACCCATGTGCGTCCATTGCTCAAGACATTACGACTGATTGCCATGCCTGCCAACTGGCTTGGGTGGAGGATGGCCGATTGAGATTTGCTTGGCGGGTGTGCTTCTTTGGGTCGAGCGCCTTCGACCAGTTCTAGCGAGCATCTTAAGATAATCGAATCTGTCAGTTTGGGCTGGTCTGTTCGTCCCAGCCCTTTCTTAGTCGCATAGATGCAGAGTAATCAGTAATCATTCACAAATACGAGGACTCAGTATGTGCTCAATAAACAAGGTAGCGGCGTCATGAGTCATTAATGACCCCGCTGTTTTCTAGCGATTCCAAACATGAAAACTCCACGAAAACGATGTTTTTTGGTTTGCGAACTGCGTTTCGACTGTTATTTGCAGGAGAACGAACAATTTTGTCAGAATTTCATTGTGTAAAATGTTTCGGTCCGCAAAAAAACACACACAAAAAAACGAAATTGGTAGTATGTATATATAACTGAAAGCAGGAAGGAAGCTAAAGATGTTTTCACACTTCGTGACATAGGTCTCCGGTCTCCGAGACATAGGTCTAAAAGTGATTGGAGACTCTCTGATGTAGGCGCCAGGAGTTTCCAAATTCTTCTTCTGCAGGAGAAGGTGCAACGGAAATTTTAGGGTTCTCCAGTGAGACCACATGTTATCCACGCATCGCCATAGAAGACTTATAAAATCCCAGGTTAGATATGAAACAATCCAGACAGGTTTGAAACACGCATGTGTGCAAGAAAACATGTGTGCGCAACACAGCACGCTTCGTGTATACATATTGGTGCGCGGAGCGCAGAAGAGTTTCCTTTGTACGGGTGTGCAATTTGAACCAAACGTTAACACCCCAACCCACTCCACCCCTCCCCACCCTATTGTGTGCGTGGCGTAGAAGGGTTTCGGCTGTATGGGTGTGCAGTTTGATCCGAACGTTAACACACCCCTCCCCACCCCACCCCACTCTCAGTCACTGGTATTGTTCGCGTAGCGTAGAAGGGTTTCGGCTGTATGGGTGTGCTATTTGAACCGAACGTCAACATCCCCCCACCCCCCACATGCTATGACGGACACGAATGTCAAAACGACTTGTAAATACCACACGAAACTACAAAGTGCCGCAAATACCACACGAAATCGCGCGCAAACCCTCAAAAACAGCGGGGTCGTTAATGACGCCGCCAGCATAAACAATGCACATACTATTGACAATGACAGCCGAGTTAAGCAGCGGTCGCTGGGCCCATCAGAAAGTGTCTCTTCAGTCAGACTCCTTGCAACCCGCAATTCCCCACCATTCAATTGTTGTTGTGGGGATGAAGGTCAGGGTTCGTTCTCAATCTGGTTATTGTCCCGGTGGTACAGGAATCTCTTGGTTTGGTCTTGCATGGTCTTACCATGGAGGCAACTCTTTCGCCAACAGCAGTTTCTCAGGAGGATTTGCGATGGAGAGGTTGAAGATTTGCATGGTCTCAGACTTCTTTCATCCCGGCAGCTCGGTCTCAAAGTTTTGCAACACCTCAAGTGATAATCAATATCGAATCCTGACAAGCATTGGTTCTCTTTCTTTTGGCTTCCAGAGAGAATAGTTTCTACTTGTATCTACTTGTATTGTCTATATAAGTGGTTTGCCAGTAGACCACACGGCAGGTCACAAGATATCGGGCGCATTTTGGAGTGTCGGACGGTCGGACGTGTGCAAGTTGTTCGCGGGTGCTGGGTGCACACAGTTTTAGTGCCCCTGAGGTCCTGGGTCCCAAACCCTGTTCGCCCTGTTTCTGTGGATGCAGGGGCATGGGCAAGAATCAACCAGCAGCTTTGTCAGCTGTAACCTCGGCCCCATTAAGCCCTTCGCACTTAAGTATCGTATCGCCGGCTTCGCACATCAACTGCTGTTTGTCGAACAGCATGGTCTTGAGTCTTGTCGTACGACTTTTCGAAGGCAAAATGAGATCGGCTCCCAAACTGGCTTATAGATTTCCGTGCCTACACAAAAAAGGGGATGCTTGAGCCCCTTTTTTGGAGACCCATGTTATTGCAAGACAGTAATAAAACATGCCTGAGGGGGGCTTGGGGTGGGTGGATTATTTTGTCCAAGATGTGTAAATGGGGTCGATGATTTTCGATAGAAAGGGGCTAGCACCCTGTTTTTATTTGCAGGAAGTACTCTCGGCTGCGAAGATTTGTTTGAGCCTGCTTCGTCAAACAGTCTTGTTACAATATTCAGGGAATCGTTTGTCCAGAATTTGTCAAAAATTGTCAACCTTTTTTGTGAACTTATGAGTGACCACAAAGCTCATCCAATCTAGCTTAGGAACCAATTTCTGTTACTCAATTTGGCTTGAAAAGTTTTAAAAGGGCAGAGAGGGAGAGAGAGATAGAAAACGCTAAGGAACTTGAAGGGGCCCACAATTGTGGCAAAAAAATAACCTAAACCCATCCAAGTCAACAATGAACATATGCGCAAGGCTTGGGCCCCAATGATCTTATTAATCAACTTCGCTTAAAGAGGGTAGGGAACTAGAGAAGGCTCAGGAAACTGAAAGGGCCTAGTGAACCATCAAGTTCAGCAAACAAAATCACCTAAGCCCATGCAATCCATCCCTTCTGCTTGAGGAGAATAAAGGCATCGCAGCTTTTGGATTTTGATCTCGTGGCCACGTTCAATTATTTTACACTTCTTGGCTACCCAAAAACATATTTGCTAAGTCAATCATGAGTTTATGTCGGACGGGGTGGACGTTGGCTACCACAATTTTTTTCAGGCCGCTTCGCGACAACAACCGCCCGCACCAGTGGCTCCAAGAGAGAGGGTAAAAGAAGCATCTATAATCACTATTTTGGACCCTTTGATACATTGTTTATTTATGTCTGTCTTGCATTTTGAAAGCATTGTTGGATCTATTTCTCGGCCCCTTGAACATGTATGATTTCAAGGGGGTCGAAAAATGGAGTGCATGGTGCATATGTACAATGTGTATGATCGAGACAAAGCTTAGAGATGAACGCAGCACGAAGTGGATTAAAATAAAGAGACATCTATCATCGCTCTATTGTGGGACCCCGTTAAAGACACTTTAGTTATGTCTTACTTGGAACTTGCAATCATCGTTGGATATAATTTTCGACCTCCTTGAAGTTGTGCATTTTTTGGGGGTCCAAATTTTATCCAACCTTGCAAAGTTAATATATATAACTTGGAAAGCCCGAACAGTGTACAATTTCAAAGGGGTCGAAAATAGAGTGAATATATACAAAAAAGATACAATGTGCATGATCAATGATCGTCGCAAAGCTTAGGGATGAACGCAATGACGTGCAGGAATTGTTTTTTGAGACGTGTCTATAATCACTCTATTTTGGGCCCTCCTATATACAATTTCTTTAGTTATGTCTCTCTGTAACCACACTTATTTGTGGACCCTATTTACAAATTGTTTGCAAGCGTTGTTGGATATATTTTTCGACCGCTGTGAAATTGTACACTACACTTTTCAAGGGGCCCCAAATTATCCGAATTTGCGGGCATTTGGTACAATAAATTATACACTTGCAACCAGCTGGCACAAATGCAACCGTAAAAAACCATACAACAAACTGATGCACATGATGCAATCATTAAAGATATATTAAGACATAGACTGTTGAGACGAGTCGTTTGTTTGCTCTCATGGACCTAGTTCAGACATAGATGATAAGTGAACACCATGAATTTTTCAATGTTTTCTCCCAATCCCACTTGTCTCCCAGACGCACCTCATGACGCAGAATATGCAATTTTGTTCTCAAACGAGAGTGGCCTCCCCTAGCTGAAACTATACAGCAATGATTGCATAGTCAAACGCCTCAGAGCCTTCCGCCCGGGCGGATTTTGAGAGGTGTTCTTTTAACGCTTGGCTTGGTTTCCTATGACCTATAATTTTACTTTGTTTTCTGCCTTGGCTACTCTGATTCTATTTCATTTTGAAGGGTTCCAACCCTCCTGTCCATCATAGAACAGCTATTTGTATTGTCCTCTCATGCGCCGATGGTTTGGTCATGAGGCTTGGGCGGCGTCGAAATGCATATCTATCAGCTCTCCGAGTGCTTGATTCAGCGGGGTCACAAGGTGGCCAAGCTGAGCCGCAAGAGAGTCAGATTCGGGAGATGCACATTGAGTGGGACTGTTCAACATGTCAAAAGAATTCAACATGTTCTTTCTGGTATTGGCTTGGCACCTCATTGCTTTCCCCTAGAATGTTCCTCTCACTAGTCTTCAGCTCATGTGCCAGAACCCAGACGCAAACAGGTGATCGTCCTCACTCACAAACGGGGTCAACGTCAGGGTGTGCGCTACATGCGCAATGGATTGAGACTTGGATCATAGAGTGCAGACAGGTTGGTTCATTTACAGGAGCACATTATTATTAAGCCTGCGCCTGCTGTGGTATAGCTGGCCAAGGAAAGTGTACTACCTGCCCTTTCTTCCTTTCCATGACAACTGCATCTTCCTCAGCACGTCGCCAAGCGATTGTGGGATAATTACAGAGCAAGTAGAGCAAGTGGAAGCCACCTTCGCCATGTGCCCAGCGCTCACACTTTCGCTGTCAGCAGGGCACTGTCTGCCATCACTTGCGGGACTTCAGGTACCCTTCCAACCTTCTTATCCTTTTTTCCGCTGATCCGGAAAGTGCTGCTCAGAGAAGCTGCCACTTGGATGTGAGATACAATGGCGCATATTTACGCATAGTTGGTCACAATGCCTTTGTCTGCACAAGGTTGATATTGTCCATGGGCATCAAGCAACTTCGAATCTAGCGCATGAGCAGTTTGGCCGCATAGATGTAACTTTGAGCCAGTCGGCTCCTTTTAGACAGTACTCAGTAGCCAAGACCAGTGACGCTCAACATATGTTAACATATTCTGTAGATCAGCATGGAAGAACCAGTGAGGCAGCGAGGCACGACCGTCTTAGCATTCACGAAGGTTGGCGGTTGACCCATTTCACCATACCAGAGCGCTCTTGATCCAAGAGGTGAAAAGGAACCACTTAGCCGGTCCGCCGCTGATCCACTCCTGATGGGGAGCGGAGCTTGAGACTTTGGTCTTGGGCTTCTGCTGTCCGAACTCCGAAGCTCAGCGGAGACCAGAGTGGCTGCAGGTAGACCCTGACCTTCGAAAGGTCCTCCGATCTATACAGGTCAACTTCGGCTGCGACACTCTGTCGAGAGTTCTCCTTCGCAACATTCTCGACCAATCCATGCGCTTTCAAGTTGCTCCCTGTCTGCAACGGGGGCAGCGAAGGACCACCTGCCTCACGTGCAGTCCTACAACGCCTCCATGGCCAAGGAATGGGCATCTTGGCAAAAGTTTGGAGCAGTGGAAGTGCAAGATCTTCCCGATGACACTTTTGGGCACTGGGTCCACACCGATAAGAAGAAAAGCCCCACACTGCTTTGTCCAAGAGGACAAAGAAGACGAAGGAGTATCCCTTTGAGGCAAAAAGTATGGTCGCGCAAGGACGTGACGGAGTCAGCATCTGTGCAGACGGCAAGTCTTTTGGCGCTCAACCTCATCTGTGCGATGCAAGTTCTTCAATACTGTGCAACTATCCTCCCGTTTCAGACGCCACCTCCACCTGCCATCTCTAGGTGGAAGAAGCTCTTCAATACTGTGAACACTGCGAGGCGGCCCTCTCCAGTACCCAGCCATCAGAGACGGTGCAGAGAAAACGCTAAAGGATACCAACGATGCCAAATCATGATCCTGACGATCCCGGAGATCAAGGACGGCGTCAATGGGCCAATCCTTTTGGTTGGGACCTACTCTCAGCGCCCATCAAGCGAGTTTGCTGGTCAATGCTGGCTTCTGGCGTCGCAGAGGCTGGAGACTATGTCCGGCCAATCCTCCTGCCCTCGTGTCAACATCCAGGACTTGCAGGAGTGCAAGAAACGGCGCTCTCCGTGGCGTTCACGGATTCCAAGTGGCCAGCCAACAGGCAAGCGAGTCAAGATCCTTGTGGAGCTGCGTTGGTAGAAGAGACGCGGCTGGAGAAGCTGCAGATCCGAGCCGGGAGACAGGGGTGCAAACCAGCATGGAAGAACCAGCAAGCCAGGCATGACCAGTTTAGCGTTCACGAAAGTTAGCGGCGGACATATTTTTTACATTGCTGACGCAATCAGAGTCCACAATGTTGTGGTACACCGTTTTACACCGTCTATATACACCGCTTACACGGTCTACAACGACTACACCATTTACACCGTAGAAACCCTGACCGGCGGGTGTACACAGACACAGCGTAACCAGCATAAACAGCGTAACCAGCGTAGACAGCGTAAACAGCGTGAATAGCGTAAACAGCGTATTATTCAGCGTATCCAGCGTAAACAGCATAATCAGCGTATCCAATGTAAACAGCGTAAAGCGCGTAACCAGCGTAAACAGCGTATCCGGCGTAACCAGCGTAATGTCGACGCCGGATTAATCAGCCCCCCCTTCAAGGTCAACAAGCTCAACAAGGTTTGGGGTTGGAGGGATTGGAGACCACATCCCCAGTAAATGATGATGACCTGATGATGGATGATGAGATGAGGACCTGGACCTGGACCTGAGACCTGATGATGGGTGATGGTTGATGGGATAGAGAAAGGGAAGGAGTGGACTGAGACGTGGGAAGAAAGCGTCAAGTGCGAACCAAATGAGAGTCAGGGCATCAGCTAAAAATCCAAACAACAATTTCCCCATTTGGTGGATGAGGTTAAGGCGTGGCTGGAAAGGGAAAGGAGATATGGGCATGGGGCGCAGAAGATGGATCTTGCGTGGAAGCATGATCAACTGCTGTCGTTGGAGAAAGTCAAGCTAGAGGAGAAAAGGGATGAGCTGGAAGATGGACCCCAGAAGATTCTTTGTATCAATCAATTGGAAAGGGCTGAATCCCAGATGAAGAGTATCAAAGATGGGTATAAGCAAAGGGAAAAGAGGGCCAAGATGCATATGGATGCTATTGGTGCTAAACATTTGACTCCAAATGTGTTGGCGCTATTGAGTAGTGAGGAGCAACAGATTGGAGCAGAATTGGCGTGGCGACACCGTGTGAACTGTATGCTTGGATCCTCAGATCAGGTTCCTGTGTGGGTGAAAAAGGGATCAACTAAGGCTGTATTTGCAAGCTATGGGACCAGAACGCACGGGAAACCCATCAAAAAGATTAGGTGGGACCTTGCAGATGAGCTGAGCCAACAAGCCAATGAGAAGAACGGGTGGGTGAGTCTGAGGACCCTGCAGCATTGAAAGATAAGGAGCCCAATGAGGACCTTGAGGCGTTGGATGACCGGAAGAAGCAAGATTGACCGCTCAGGGTCAGAAGGGTGGGGGAAAGAGCTCATTTGACTATCAAGAACGCAATTGAGAATGAAGGCGGATAGGAAGGGTGAGTGTGCCAGGAGGGCATTGGAGCAATGGGTCAAGATCAGAAGGGATCTTCCGGGACCTTCCGCATTTGTTGGAACACTACGATGTTTATTCCCAACCATCCTCCAATCAGGACAGTCAAAGCATGGGAGGATGTATCCAGCGTCCATCTACCAGAGGGACTGCTTTGCTGCATCATTTAGTGATGATACATCCCAGATGATGTATGCAGCCCGTCAGTTACAATCTATCATTCCTCCGAAGATGGCGGCTATACTGATCTCTTTGCTATCAGTTCAAAGGGCCGACAAGGAAATCTGTTGATGAGACCATGGCAATGGGTATGGTTGAAAGGGGTTCTTGGCAAGTATCGAGTATAGCAGGGATGCGTCACGGAGCATGGGGTGGTGCTTATGAGGTGGGTAGTTGATGAGAAGCTGCTGGACGAGTCCCCTCTATGAGCTATGGCCTCATTGTCCATCAGAACAATGAGTATGGGCCTAAGGTACTGGAGAAGATAGGCTGCCATGAGGCCTTTTGCTGATGAGGGCTGTATTTGTTCATCCCAGCAAACGCATCAAGATAAAAGCAAGGAATGTGGTGAATTGGTATTGGCTGCATTGCTCCAATTTGGTATCATTGATGAGAAGCTCTTGGATAGGCACCCCCTACAAAGGGTGAATGAGGTGGTGAGGCGCAACCAATGTGGTGTATTGGCCTGTATGGAGCGGGATGTTGCTGATGCCATTGGGTATGGCCCAGCAGGGATTGGGTGGCCATGGGTTGCTGCCCAGAATTGGATCAGCGAGATGAAGAAGCTGGGCAAGCAATTGGAGATTGAGAGGGGGAAGAGGATCGAGGCTATGAGAGAGCAGGATGAGAAGGATCAGAAGCATGGAGAGAAGATGAAGCAGGAGAGGGAGAAGATGGCCGCATTTGCTGGGAAGATGAAGGCAGCCAATAAGAAGATGACCAAGATACAGGAGGATGCTTGGGTGGGTGAGCTCCCATCAGCCTGTTTGAAAGCCAAAGCCAAGATTGAGTTATTCCAATGGGTGTATGGAATGCAATGTATGGAAAATTGGACCCTAGGGGAAGAGGCTGGGGAGGAAGATCCCATTGGCTGCGTGGCTGCTGGGAAGGGCGAGAAGAGCAAGCAGAAAGATCAGACTGATTGATGGATGAGAGGATCAGCATGGGAAAAGGGTGGATGAGAATGCAATCTCTCAAAGAGATGGAGTGAGACAAGGGTGGATCAGAAGATCAGTTTCGCCATGGACCAGAAGATATTTGATACCGCCCAACAAGAAGATAGTAATGAATAGAATTTAGCTCATGATTTTTTTCTGGCGGAGTTGGGCTTGATTGATTGGGGGAGGTTTCTGGCACGAAAAATACTCTATAGGGTGATGTACCAGGGTTTAAATTAGTTTAAATTTAGTATTGGGGGCTCGAACTGGGCTTGATTAATAGGGGGAGGTTACTTAATCCTCTGTCAACATTAAGCAGCGCATCCAGCGTAAACAGCGCAGTCAGCGCATCCAGTGCAAACAGCATAGCCAGCGTAAACAGCGTAACCAGCGTAAACAGCGTAACCAGCGTATCCGGGGTGTCCAGCGTAACCAGCGTAAACAGAGTAGCCAGCGCAACCAGCCACCACCAGCGTACCAGCGTACAATCACTTGCGGACACGCTTTGCCACGTCGCTCTTTTTAAACCATGCCAGAGCGTTCTTGATCCAAAAGGCCGCTTAGCCGGTCCGCCTGATCCGTTTTTGATACTCAAACTTTCCACAAGTTCTGTAAACATGATGTTGCCTATCTGAACATCCAATCTCAGAGAGCATTTCCACGAGCGGACCTGCTTTGCACAAGATCTTCTTTTCATTTGGGATACGTACAGCCCCTTACTTATGTAGGCTAGGTTCCGTCAGGCATCTCACTGACAATGGGTCGTTGAGATTCGCTTGATGTGATTTTTCCAAAAGAATTCTGCAAGCGCTAGCTGCACTTGAATCCAAGGTGTATACTCCATGCTCGCACGATGGGGTACCACACCATCTACACTGATCACTCTCTCTTCGGCTTTGCAGACGCAGCTTGCATTCACGTGGGAACCCGAGCCAAGGTGGCGCAAATTGAGACATTTGAGGGACATTTTTTGATGTGCGCCATGTTGCGCAATTTGACTTGCAAACCTGCAAGCAACATTACAAAGGCTTTAGTTGATGAACTTGGTTACCTTGATTTTGCATCGTTTAGGTCAACAAACTTTTGAAGTTCTTTTTGACCAACGTCGAGCAGCCTGGCATTCAAAGAATTGCAGAAGAGTTGTTCCATGCGCATTACTGTATGGGTTTCCAAAAGCGCTAGGCACTGCGTTTGCGTGTCCCACACAAATCGTTGCTTGGCGACCTACGGTAATTTGTATGTTTGGGTTCGTTCATTTTGCAGCTTTGAAGTGGCACGTTTGACTTTCTACATTGATTTGTGACTCGTGTTGAGGAGAAAATTTGGTACTTCGGGCCGCTTTGAATCCTATCAATGTCTCGGTGATCCCCAATGCTGTGGACACAAGGCGAAAAGATTGCTGCAGAGTTCCTTGTGACCTAAAGCCCCAATCAAATTGAATGAATTCGATTATATAAATCACTCACATTCTCGAGAACTACTAGTGTCCCCCAATCCCCGTCCATCCTGGTCACAATTCTAGTCACTTCCCAACCACTCGAATGGAATCTTGATCAGCGCCTCTTTACTCAAGGCGCTTCCAGCCAGATGCCTCCCAGCGCTCAAAGAAGCCCTGGGTGACAGTGGTAGTGGTGAGCCGCTTGACCTACCGCAAGGCACTGCCGCTCAGAACAGACTGCAGGAATTCAGCCTCATTTGTAGAATGGCCAATAAC